ACGCATGATGCACGATCCTCGCAGTAGAGAGCGCTATTTATGCAATAGCGAAAATCAGACCTGAAAAAAATCAAGCATGTACGGGATTCGAACCACTGACCTCTGCGATACTAGTGCAGCGCTCTGGTGCCTGATGGAAACTAGCAGCAAAGCAGTTGAATCTTCGTAAGACAGACAGATAACATCAATCTATCTAATTCCAAGAATACTGGACTTAAAGTATCGAGGTAAACATGTACCGATGCGAGGACCAAAAAATAATTAAGCAAAACAGAAAAGAAAGTTATGGTCGCTAATTGTGATGTTGAGAACCTAAACGATCAAAACTGACAACTCATAGAAGGTAAGTCATAACGCCTATTTCAATGATCAAGCAAAACATGCCAAAAATCTCGTAAAAAAATGGGGCGGGATCGGGCTCCGGGCATAAAAACGGGCGGGATGGCGGGATGGCGGGATGGCGGGATTGAGAAGAAAAAAAGGCGGGAAAGCGGGATTTGAGAACCCCTATTGTGGACCCTCATTCTAGGCTTAATCATTTTGGAAACAAAATGAAAGGAAAACAGACGAATGGTGCTGATATATATCTCATGCGGAGGTAAAGATAACTTTGACAAGGATTTTGGAGTAATCGTCAATTAATAGGAAGGATTTTTATGCATTTTGCAAAGTAGTAATTTTAGGAGAAGTACTATTTTGGGGAATCGCCCATTTCACACTTCAATAACGATGTCTTTCTTTATGGGTCACAAAGATTACAACCTTTAAACATTGTATTATGGTATATTCCCAAAGATCTTGGTCACCTCCTGTTTCACTATTCATATAAAATTAACTTTGCAAAGTGGTAATTTTAAAGCAATCTCTATTTTTCAAAATTTACTTTTTTCACTCAGAGGTACCAATGTTGCCATTCTTGTGTCCCAGAATAGCTTTTAGGTAGGTTTTAAACTAACATACTAAGATTTTGGCCTACTCTTATTTCTAACACCATATAAAAATACATCTTGCTAAAATACATCTATGGCCGTCCTCAGAATTTTTTTCATCCGATTACTTCCAAATCGGACACCACATAGTCCTATTACATATACTAATAACAAATATTGCCACTGTGTTGTCACCCTCTCATGTGATCAAACACAAACTCTGTGTGGGCCTCCAGCTGGGTTCTATAAACTTGGTTTGACTTCACACAATACGCTAGTTCCTAGTTGTCATAAACTGCGGTCTACGATTATGTGCGAAAATTGATATTTAAGTTTCTTGAATTACGATCAAATATTAGCAGTACACCAGCTGGACACACTTACTAATCATGAACAATTCTGTCTGAATGTCTCTTCAGCCTCATCTTTTCTATTGCATATTTTTGAGCAAAACCCCGTTAGCCTTTTCATAGAAATATGATTGACCTCTTTTAATGCAGTAATTATATCATAATCGACTGCCGTCCCATCAAAAATGTCATTAACCTCTCCGTCCACTAGGACAATTGAAAGTTTTCGTTTGAAATTTTATTCAAGATGAGAGCGTAAAGACTTATCCCGCGCGTTGCAAAAATATTTAAAGGATAATTGACACAAAAGCATCCTTCTGGCGCATAAATATGCTCGTACAGGCAATTTTTTATATTTCAATTGGCATAAAAGGTCCACCAAAAATAAATCGCAGGTTCTCTTGGATTTTTCGACATACAGGTATGAACGGTAGCCCTTAATTATGGTAAACATACAATTTAGAAAGCTTTAATTTTACTATTAAGCGTCAAAGTTCTAGTTGCAAAGCTTTTTTCAATTAATCAGGTTACTAGATTTTCACGTTGGGATAGGCTAAACTTGATAAAAAATATTCAAAATTATTTTTTCTCAGATCTTGAGGAGGTGGTATTCTACAAATCGTGCGATCCATTTGGGTCCAAGAGTGGGCAGTATTCTCCCAATCAGGCCTGTTTTCAGCGGGCTTTATCCGTTTCGTGTTAGGTTCAAACTGTGTTGCCGGCTGGGCAGCATTTTTAAGCAAATACTTATGTCACGAACTTTAGCTGATAAAAAACAAATTAAATTCTCTCTTCTCTCTTTCTCCCCCTCTCTCCCCCCCCTCTCTCTCCCCCCTCTCTCTCTCAAATCATTTTCATTGGTTTTTCCACAAGAATTGATTTTAAATAGATCTTGACTAGTACTAAATTTTTTTTATAAAGATTGACAGGTATCCTGAAAATCATTTGTAAATTAATAATCCTTTCCAAAAAGTAACTCAGAAAGCTAAAACATGAGGTATTTGCAGTTAAAAATAAAATAAATAAATGTGACTCTCGTAAAATTAATATCTAAATTCTCCAAACAATTTGTTCATTTGTGAAATGTTGAGCGAACATTTGAGATCTTCTTGAAGGCCTCTGGCACAGTTTTTTAATAGGAACCTTCCGGCTGTTGAATAACATACGTATATTAAATGAATCTCACCTCTTTCCTTGGTTCTCACCGCTACAGGAGAAACAGTTCAAAATATTAGCTAGTTAAACATTGATTAGATAAGAGTGTAATAAAATAACTAAATAATAACTCATTCCCACACTTAGTGTTTTCTTCCCTCTTCATAAGTGAGCAGTTTCATTTATCTCCAGAACTCAAGGCTTTAATTGGCTTGAGACTCACTGCAGAAGGCATTTAAAACTAACAATTAACTCTTTCTTTGTGCATGCTAATTAGGGCTGAATTGTTTCTGTCACTTCCATACCATTTGGCACAATCTAGAAGGTCGATGAAGTTGTGAATGTATCATGAGATAATTTGTTCCATGTAGTCACTGAGAATAGGATACCATATATACTTCAGGTGACACTGGATCAACACCGGTAAGGTATCTACACCTGTGAGTTGTTGATTCCCAAATTTTCTTCGGTCCAACTTTAAAACTTTGCTGAACCAGTTAACTTTGGCAATAGATAAGTAAGCATCATATAGAATACAGTGTGCGTACTGTGCACTTAAAGCAAATTGACCTACTCAGTAGCTCTCCTTTAAAAAATAACTTAATAAACAATCATTTTGTTTCAGTCGTAAGAGCAAAAAAAGAGGTCAAATGCATGATTACCTTTTGTTAGAAGTACTCCATATACTTCCACTCTCAGGATTTTCCATGTACGATATTGTGTTGGCACAAAGCGGATGAATCATGCACTTGCAAATTCATCAAGACTGTTGATTACAGTGCTGTTTTGGTGTGTATTTCCAGGAAAGACCTGCAGTTAGTGGCACAAAAAGATACCATGAGATTGTTTTAAACTTCTATGCATGTTCAGTAATCATTCAAATCAATAGTTCATTGATGAACATAAACTTCCAAACTACTACCGACAAAAATGTCATTAGTACTCTGAAACATATAATTTTGAGTTCTTAGAGTGTATTTGTGGGTGGCATGCATGTATGTGACTTATCTCCCTGTTTGTAATGTATCTTGTAGATTGTAATTCACCTATTTTTGAAATAGGTAGGTTTTATAACTGTGTTGGAGTTATGGGAAAGAGGAGATTATGGCAAATGATTCTATCTCAAACATTCAATAGCCTGCAGAACAGGTGTAATCTTTTGTTAGGAGAATTCAGATTTTAAGGAAATTCCTACATTTTCTATCTTTAGTGTCTATAAGTGCATAGTTGTATTCAGTTGGACACTTAATGTTGCTCCCATCAAATTTGGCACCAGGAATACTCTGTCAATACCCTTGTGCTCAAAGATCTGATGAAGCTCCAGCAAAGTTGTGTTGTTCCCTACATGTACCTCTAACCACAGGCGGCCCAAGGGTACTGTGTGTTATTTTGGGGTTTAAAAGCCATTTTCACATGAATACCTAATTGGGTAAAGGTAAAGTCTGCTTATGAGCCTGCACTTAACTCTGGTTTCTGTAGCATGAAGCAACTAGGAGTATTTCTACTCCCACCTGGATGGAATGGTAGACCATTGCAGGGTTACCCCCAGCATTAAATCCTCCATTATACCCATTAAATTCTCCTGGGCAAAAAGAGGCACTGAGAGAGTAAAGTGTCTTGCCCAAGAACACAACACAATGTCCCCTGTCAGTGAGCCAGGGGACATTTACTTAAGACTCATACAATGAAGTACATTGCTCCTCTTTATACGTGTAGTAGTCTCTAAATTAAAAAGAATCATTTGGAATTACTGAAAATTAGTTGCAGGATGCAGAGTATATATGAATCAATATCATTTTCTGATTGTGCTTTTTAGGGTTTCCATTTGTAGAATTTCAATTAAAAAAGAAACATTTTTCATCAAGACTACAATTTGAGACATCGTTCATGCACCCTCAATACTCTAGCCTCGGAATGTTCAGCAAGTGCAATGAAAGCAAATTCAATCATTTAATATGTCTGTACAAGAACACTATACATGTAGACCAACCTTATCATTATTGTTGTCTTTGTAGGTGTCAAAAGTGGTGTCATTAAATGATAAACGTATCTTGTAATGTGTAGTCCATTCTGGTGAATCAATTCTTGGGTTTCCCTGAGTAGCCACAGCACAGATGATATACTCATACAATAGGTCAATTTGTAGGAAGTCATCAGCATTGTTATTATCCACGGGTCCCCATGACTTATTGTTATTCAATGGACCATGTTCAGCTACATATTTATAATTAAATTCTGATGAGGCTGCAAAGCTGCTGTCTGGAATTTCACCACCAATGGCTAAACCAATGGGCTTGATATTACAAGCTGCAAGATAATAATGACAGCAATAATATTAGCCTTCATATCTTTTCAATTCATATCTTCTGCAGCTTCTGAAGGACCTCACCACAAGTTACCAGTAACCATCCCTATCATACATAATTGCAATACATCACTATAAGGATTTCCTTTCACAGTGAGTGTTTGAGCACTTCAAGATAAAATTATAATTCATTTTATTGCATTGACAGAGCAAGTTGAAAACAGGCTGAATAATTTGAAAACCAAACTTTTACTGTTCAGATGTCTCGAAAGCAATACTTCACAATCAATTTTTTAAGCTAGATGAAGCAACTTTCAGAGTTTTCAATCCAATGTAGCCTTCATGAGCAGCATATTGAAACTACAATACTAGTCCCTTAATTGGTTTATTTTCTCCCATTATAATCCTTTACTATAGGTCTTATTTGGACTTTAAATGCTCAGCTTCTTTAAAGGCTGCCATTTTGTTACCTCAAGTAATGAGAGTATCCAAAAATAAAATTAAGTCAACAGAAAAGATAGGAAAATTATTGAAACGAAATTATAATTTCATTACACAAATATTTTTCCAAACATTCACCCCACCCTGTATTTTGGCCAGAAACTCAAAACTAATAGTTATTAGTCGATAATCACCTACTACAAGACTGACAAAGACACTTCCACAGGTTAGCAAATTTGACCACCAAAGTGAGTAATTAAAAAAAAACCTTTACTTTTTTCCTCTATAGTTTATTTCTTCTGGTGATAATTTTTTTCTGGTAATCAGAACATGACTTGAGGTTCATGAGTGGCCCATAGGAAAAAAGTTGAGGTTTACTCCACATAAGCATGCAAGAGTACATTATAAGTTCCACACTCACTTGACATTTTTTCTACTCCAAACACCTCTGTTCTCATACACACCTCACCCTGGTGTGTTTTTGGCAAAAATCGCAGATATCTTGTTAACACTCCATAAACAACATGCTTCACTTCTGAGTTCCTGTCATCATTTCCTCTCAAAACCTAACATAATACCAAACAGTCGACTTATCTGACCATAAATTTCTTTCAATGATATCCACAGGTAGAAATTAAGCAACAATCACTGGAATATGATTAAAGTACATGTATTTAAAACTTTTACTTCATGCAATCAGGACTTTTATTTTATTAATGCAGTTAAAAAAATAAACACTGTCAGTGACTCAAAACAGTCCATGAAAATATTTGTAATGTAATTTCTTTTTTTTAAGCAGTATTTGTCATATATACCTTAACTTTTCCTCCCTCCTTGTAGTCTGTCCACGTCGTCCCATTTGTGGATAATCGCAGCATGTATTTCTTCACCCACTGATCTGCTTGAGAGTTCCCTTGAGTTGAAACGGCACAGATGACATGAAGTGTCTGTAGATCAATCTGCAGATATGGGGTAGTGTCACTCATTCCTGCACACCAGGATGATCCTGATGTGTAGTTCAGTCGACCATTCTTGGCAGGTGTGCTGGCATCATATATAGAAGAAGCAGTTATGTGACCATCTTGAATTGTTCCACTTCCCACTCCAAGATCCAAATCAATGCAAAGTCCTAAAGAACCAAAACTGAATAACACAAGGTACTGGCACATGCTTTGACAATGACGCATACAAAGCTGAATGACAGAATCACAATAGAGTATTATAAAAAAGTCACACAACTTGTCACAAATATCTTCATATTAATTACTGTAACAGGGATAGTCAGGTTGGCTGTGTGAAACAAGTCTGTGTCACGCCAAGCGATCGCGATTGTTTTGATTGACCCGCCATATGAAACAAAACGCTCTTCCGACAGAGAATGTCTTTGTTCATTACCTCACTCACCCCAGCTCGTCTTTCTATTATTTTTAGCGATACCATCCGCGATTGCAGCAAACAGAACTCACAGGTCGGGTATTGTCGTGACAGCGATCGATACTTCATACCATGCCTTGCGCTGTAGCTCATGGTTTTTTTTTTGGTTTTTTTTTTTTTGGTTTTTTTTTTTTTGATACGCATACTTATAATTATAAAAAGAGTTATCTCATATAATTCGCTTTGAAGAAGGGCTGACGCTCTGAATGTCAGCTGTGAAACTCTTTACGGTGGCCAAGTTACATTTACAGTTGATAAAACCAAAATGAACTCAGTTGTTATATTCCCCCACCAAAGCTGCATCACAGAATCTTTAGAAACCTACCCTTTATTTAATTGATACGATAGTCTTTTAGTGTCTTATTAGCTCATTAATTCTGTTTTTTAGGTGCAAGAGAGTTCTTAATAAACTATTATTATTAAAGTAGACTTTAAGACTACGAGAGAATTTTAAGAGGCTGCCTCTAAATATTGAAATCACACTTAAGGATGGCAATAGAGTGTACGGTGGCTGGTTAGCGACATAATAGAAACACAATTTTTTTAGGGATTGAATTAAATTAAGTTACCAAATTAAAAGTAACCCTGTTTCGAAACACTAATGCTGCACAGCATTTCAATTGACATTTACCTATCTACATTATACTACCAACTGAAAATTTCCTCTTATAACTGTAAATTTCCACTTAAAACTGTGAATTTCTACTTATCTCTGTAAATGTCCACTTATAACTATACATTTACAGTTCTAAGGGTAAATTTCCAGTCGTAACTGTAAATTTACACTTACTTCTACATATTCAGGAAAACTTACTGAAATATGGAGCGGAAAAACTTGCTACGTACACCACTGGCGAATCTGTACAATTCATGTATCACAAATCGCGGACAATGGCCAAGCAACTGGAAAGGGAGGGAATGGACGCCCGTCTTCAAGAAAGAGGATCCACAAGATCGTCGGAACTATCGACCAATAATTAACTGTCCTTCCAGTGGTTCGAGCAGCTGCTTAGCGACCAGATTTCTAAGCAATTTGACAGTCGTTTGGATCCCCGAATCACGGCATATCGTAAACGCCATAGTTGTGAAACAACCCTGATAGATCTCATTGAAGCGTGGAAATCAGCACGCGATAACCAACAAATGGTTAAAATCTTGTCTACCGACCTGAGCAAGGCTTTTGATTCGCTCCATCCGTCCTCAACGATTAGCAAATTAAAAGCGAATGCATTTCATGACGAACTAGGTGATCTACTTCGATCCTACCTATGTAATCGACTGAATTGAGTGAAAGTGGGAGCTTTTAGAAGTGAAGGAACATCGGGAATAGACGCGCAACTCCTGGAAATCACGGGCGCCGAGTGGCATGCGTGCGAATGAGCCCCCATAAACTCTAAGGCACCTGTGCAAACGAAGGAGGGAGTCTTGATCTCACGCATACCGCTTCTACGTAACGCATGCCAACGCGCCCAAAATGGAATCCCAGGTTCACTAGACTCAAGGGACCTCGGGAATAGACGCGTAACTCCGGGAAATTACGGGCGCAGGAGTGGCACGCGTGCGAATGAGCCTCCATGCACTCTGAGGCACCTGTGCAAAGGAGGGGTGGAAGCTTGTTCTCACGCATGCCACTTCTACGTAACGCATACCCACGCGCCCAAAATGGAATCCCAGGTTCACTAGAAACAAGGGACCTCGGGAATAGACGCGCAACTCCGGGAAATTACGGGTGCCGGAGTGGCACGCGTGCGAATGAGCCCCCATGCACTCTAAGGCACCTGTGCAAACGAAGGGTGGAGACTTGTTCTCACGCATGCCACTTCTACGTAACGCATGCCAGTTCTACAAAACGCATGCCAACGCGCCCAAAATGGAATCCCAGGCTCACTAGACCCAAGGGACCTCAGGAATGGACGCGCAACTCCGGGAAATCACGGGCGCCGGAGTGGCATGTGTGCGAATGAGCCCCCATGCACTCTGAGGCACCTGTGCAAACGAAGGGTGGAGGCTTGTTCTCACGCATGCCACTTCTACGTAACGCATGCCAACGCGCCCAAAATGGAATCCCAGGTTCAATAGACCCAAGAGACCTCGGGAATAGAAGCAACTCCGGGAAATCACGGGCGCAAGAGTGGCACGCGTGCGAATGAGCCCCCATGCACTCTGACAGGCTTTCTGAGGTTAACTAAGAGAAAAATGGAGATCCATTTGAGTTTGGCAAAGAGACTGACTGAGGACTGATGCCAGTCGGCGTATTGTAATCTTTATTTAGACACGATCAATTCATCAGCCTATAAAAATACATATCACATACGCTAAGATGTTTAAAATTAAAAACTACATACTATAACACTAAAGCTGTTTTCCGTGAATGCCGTGCGTTAGACTTTAAAAATGTCATTGATCTT